CAGCCCGTGTGAAGGCCATTAGTAAGGCAGCTTGGCATTGTAGGGACAGCAGTTGTCTGCGGTATACAGAGGGAGGGGACAGCCAATAGTCGAAGCAGAGGCTGGCAAGGGAGACCCGGGGACGACTTCCTGGTCCCCTAGTGATGCTGACGTAGCCCTTTGCTGTGTCTCCGCCTGGCTCCCAAATGCAACTTCTCTTCGCACAGACATGTCCAGGGCTTACCTTTCATTTGTGATGACCCCAAAGTGAGTGTTACGAGGTCCTCTCTCTTTTGGGCTTCCTCCCAGAACACCTGCCCTGATGTGTTCTGTGGACAAATGACATCTTCCACCAAGGCCAGGAGACTGTTGATGTCCCTCAAGTTCACTGAGTCCCAGCCCGAGGCGGTGGATGGCACCTTGAGGGCTTTGAAGAGGGAGTTGACAATCCTTGACACATCCTGGTGGGGAAAGGGGCCATGAGCCACAGGCGAGGGGCAGCACAGGGATCAGGAGCACACGCCCTGGCCCCAGCAACTGCGTAGGGACCCCTGCTCTTCCCACTGAGATGCGATATTGACCTCTCTGAGCTTTCATTTGTCAGCTCCTAAATCCCTCTTCTAGGCTTTGAACTCATTCCAGGCTGTATTCCTAAAAGTGTGGCACACAGTAGGTGCTCACTGAAAGCTTACTGAATGCATGAATGCAGAGCAGGGCATCTCTTCCATGGGCTTCCAGGCTGGGAGTCTACAATGAAGGCAGAATACTTTGCACATAGTAAGTACTCAAAAAGTATGTGTGTGTTTGCGTGTGTGCACATGTGTATGTGTCTGTCTCTGCATTTGTGCATGTATGCATATGTGCACCTGTGTGTGGTGTTTGTGCATGCGTGTATACATGCATGAGTGCATGCATGTTCCATGTGTATGTGTGTGTGTGGTTGATGAATTTTGGCAACTCACGCCAGGCAACACAGGGCTGCTGAGTTTCAAGCCCCAGGCCTCACCCCCACTTCTGCTGAGGCTAGAGTACCCCCCATGCTAGCAAGCTGAGGTTGAGGACCTGCCTTGGTCACTGCCTCAGGTGTCAGAAGGCCGTCCTCCATGGGCTGTGGTGAGGGAGTCGGGTTGGGGGACCCCCGGTCCCGTTTCTCAGAGCTGTGCTCCTTAGCGACCCGGGGACGGGTGTTCTGAAAGATCTGAACGATCAGGAGGTTGATGGGGAACATGAGGATGGAGCTCTCCAGGCCGATCATCACCTCCTGCCAAGTGAATTCAATCTTACCTGGGGAAAGGGAAGGAAGGGGTCAAAGGAGAGGCTACCGCCCAGAGCCCAGTCCCGTCTATCCCTTGAAGGGTTAACCCTGCCCAATGCCTGGGAGGTCACTGTTCAGACCTTGGAAGGTCCTGCCTGCTAAGAATGTCTTTGTTGGCCAGGCACGGTGGCTCACCCCTGTAATCCCAGCGCTTTGGGAGGACGAGGTGGGCGGATCACGAGGTCAAGAGATCAAGACCATCCTGGCCAACATGGTGAAACCCGGTCTCTACTAAAAAAATACAAAAATCAGCTGGGCGTGGTGGTGGCGCCCGTAGTCCCAGCTACTCAGGAGGCTGAGGCAGGAGAATTGCTTGAAACTGGGAGGCGGAGGTTGCAGTAAGCCTAGATCGCGCCACTGCACTCCAGCCTGGCGCCTGGTGACAGAGCAAGACTCTGTCTTAAAAAAAAAAAAAAAAAGTCTTTGTTTACCTGGGGTCTTGGGTCACACCAGATGCTCTTTGCTAATGTTGAGATTTACAGTAGAGGCCTAGACCATATGGGGTCAGCTTGACCTCTGGAGGGGCTGGAGGCAAAGGCCAGCTATGAGTGTCAGCCATGCCTATCTGTCAGAGCCCCAGTAAAAATTCCAAATAGCAGCCAGGCATGGCGGCTCATGCTTGTAATCCAAGAACTGTGGGAGGCCAAGGTGTGTAGATCACCTGAGATCAGGAGTTCGAGACCAGCCTGGCCAATATGGTGAAACCTTGTCTCTACTAAAAACATAAAAATGAGCCTGACATGGTGGCGGGCACCTGTAATCCCAACTACTCGGGAGGCTGAGGCAGGAGAATAGCTTGAACCCAGGAGGCGGAGGAGGTTGCAGTGAGCTGAGATCATGCCACTGCACCCCAGCTTGGGTGACAAGAGCAAAACTGTCCAAAAAAATAATCTGAATCACAAGGCTGGAGTGGGGGGCCCCCGTTTGGCAATATGCCATGTGAACTGCCACACATCGTGGCTTCAGGAGCAGCCAGCACCATTCACAACTCCACTGGTAGAGGACACTGGAAGCTCTGTGCCTGCTCTCTCCCGGCCTCTGTCCCATGTGTCTCTTCCTTTTCTGTATTTAATCTGTTTCCTCTCCTTCCCTCCCTCCCTCCCTCCCTCCCTCCCTCCCTCCCTCCCTCCTCCTCTCCTCTCCTCTTTTTTCTTTCCTTTTTTTTTTTTTTTTGCATTTTTTTGCCCAGGCTGGCGAGATCTCAGCTCACTGCAACCTCTGCCTTCTGGTTTCAAGTGATTCTCCTGCCTCAACCTCCTGAGTAGCTGGAACTACAGGCGTGCACCACCACACCTGGATAATTTTGTATTTCTAGTAGAGACGGGGTTTCACCAGTCTCGAACTCCTGGCCTCAGGTGATCCACCTGTCTTGGCCTCACAGAGTGCTGGGGTTACAGGTGTGAGCCACTGCACCCAGCTGTATCCTTTCACTGCAGTAAACCATAACAATGAGCACAATGGGTTCTCTGAGTCCTGCTAGTTGGTCACTGAACTAGGAGAGGGTGGTCTTGGGGATTCTGGAATCACAGTGGCATTGCTGGAACAGTGAAGGCTCAGGTCCACCAGCCATTAGCCCTGACCTCCATGACACTGGGAATTACCCAAGTCCATCTTTTGCTCAGCCGGGTCCTTGGGGACCCCCCAGAACATGATGCTGGTCAGCATGGTGCACAGCAGCAGGGAGAAGCAGCAGGACACCCTCTGGACACAGGTGAAGCTGCTCCGAGCACAGCGGCTGAAGATGGAATACCAGATGTGTCCATCCTGGAAGCCTGCAGATGTCTTCATGAGAAACAGGTGGCTGCAAGCAGGCAGGGAGAGAGAGACAGGCATTAGGAAGACAGGAGAAGGGGAAAGTGGTCCGTGTGGATCATTCTTGGGATGAGGAGGAGGAGGAAGAGAGACAGAGATTTGTTACTAAGGTTGTTTACACAATGCAGGTTGTTGTTTTGTTTTGTTTTGTTTTGTTTTTTGAGATGGCGTCTCGCTCTGTCACTCAGGCTGGAGTGCAATGGTGCAATCTTGGCTCACTGCAACCTCTGCCTCCCAGATTCAAGTGATTCTCCTGCCTCAGCCTCCCAGGGAGCTGGGATTACAGGTGCCCACAACCACACCTGGCTAATTTTTAATATTTTTAGTAGAGACAGGGTTTCTCCATATTGGTCAGGCTGGTCTCAAACTCCTGATCTCAAGTAATCTGCCCTCCTTGGCCTCCCAAAGTGCTGGGATTATAGGCATGAGTCACTGCGCCAGCCATTTTTTTTTTTTAATAGAAGAAACACAGCATTATAGCAGCATCACTTATAGTTAATGATGGAGAATCTGGAAAGAGCAAGATTATAATCCTAGCATCCTACACGGCCCTTTCCCAGCTAAGGGACCTCGGGGAAGCTACTTTGTTTTTGGTACCTTAGATGACTTGCCTGTAAATTGGGGCGCATAATAATAACAGAACCTACCTTACTGGATTGTTGAAAGCATTAAAAGTGATAATTCTGGGCCAGGAATGGTGGCTCAAGCCTGTAATCCCAGCACTTTTGGAGGCCGAGGCGGGTGGATCACGAGGTCAACAGATCGAGACCACATCCTGGTCAACATGGTGAAACCCCGTCTCTACTAAAAACACAAAAAATTAGCTGGGCATGGTGGCGCGTGCCTGTAATCCCAGCTACTCAGGAGGCTGAGGCAGGAGAATTGCCTGAACCCAGGAGGTGGAGGTTGCGGTGAACCGAGATGGCGCCATTGCACTCCAGCCTGGGTAACAAGAGTGAAACTCTGTCTCAAAAAAAAAAGTGATAATTCTGTAAAGCACTCGGGGCAGTAGCTGGCATGCAGGTCAATGTTCAATCAATGTCAGCATTGTTATTTTTGGAATAATTTTAATATAATAATATAACTGAAATACTGTTAGTTTTGTTACAACTAGATCATTGGAATGCAGTGGTTAAAAATCCCAGGCATGGCAGAGCGCAGTGGCTCAGGCCTGTAATTCCAGGATTTTAGGACGCCAAGGAGAGAGGGCTGCTTGTGGTCAGGAGTCTGGTCAATGTGGTGAAACCCTGTCTCTAATAAAAATACAAAAATTAGCTAGGCATGGTGGCACACACCTGTAATCTCAGATAGAGTGGCTGAAGCAGGAGAATCACTTGAATCCAGGAGGTGGAGGTCACAGTGAGCCAATATTATGCCACTGTACTCCAGCCTGGGTGACAGATGAGAGTCTGTCAAAAAAAGAAAATCCCAGGTAGAGCCGAGCACAGTGGCTCATGCCTGTAACCCCAGAACTTTGGGAGGCTGATGCAGGAGGATCCCTTGAGCCCAGGAGTTTGAGACCAGCCTGGGCAATATGGTGAACCACATCTCTACAAACACGGCTGGGCATGGTGGCATGTGTCTATAGTTCCGGCTACTCAGGAAGCTGAGGTGGGAGGCTCTCTTGAGCCCAGGAGGTGGAGACCAGCTTAGGCAACATAGTGAGGCCATGTCTCTACTGTAACAAAACAAAACAAAATAGCAAGGCATTGTGGTGCATGTCTGTAGTCCCAGCTGCTAGAGAGGCTGAGGTGAGAGGATTGTTTGACCCAGGGGAGTCGAGGTTGCAGTGAGATGTGATTGTGCCACTGCAGAACAAGACCTGAGCTTAAAAATAAAAATAAATAAAAATGATAGTACCTGAATTGTTTTCTGTCCTGCTCCGTGGCCACAGGAAATACCTTATCAAGGACACAATCTCCAACATCGATGGACAGCCAGGAGTTGCAGAGGAAATACCACTTCCGGTCCATCACCAGGTCATAGACCAGCACCCGGCTCACATACCTGGAGAAGGGACCCACGGTTTTGAGGATAAGGTGGGGCAGGGGAGGAGACTTCCTTGGATGCCACCAAGGTGACACCTTTGCCAACATGAACCCAAAGAACAAGAGCTCCTCAAAAAAAAGAAGCCATATTTTTCTTTATTCTTGGTGCCTTAATCAAAATTGACCTCACATAGGGAGTTCAGCTACTACAGGGAGCCAGCTCTGGGAAGCTGCCATGTTTTCACAAAGATGCTGCAAAATGGTGCATTTTGAGGCCATTAACCTGTACACATGGCATCAAGCCCAGGGCCAGTATCCAGGCATGAGCAAGCAAAGCCAGATTGTCCACAGTGTGCGTGTTCAGGCAGGTGCAGCGGTAGTACACAGAAAAGGCCCTCTCTTGGGTTTCTGACCAAAGAAGTCTCTCTTGGGCTGAGGACTTCGTCGGTATCATCTAACCTGATTTAGGTCTTTAAGGTACAGGGAAGAATTGAAATTATCTTGCCTATCCTGGGATGTCAGACCCAACAGCAGTTTTCCCTGTTGCTATCTAGCCAACAAGAACAGTAATGATGGCCGGGCGTAGTGGTTCACATCTGTATTCCTAGCACTTTGGGAGGCCAAGATGGGCAGATGACTTGAGGTCAGGAGGTTGAGACTAACCTGGCCAATATGGTAAAACCTCATCTCTACTAAAAATAAAAAAATAAAAAAAATTAGCTGGGCATGGTGGTGCGTGCCTATAATTCCAGCTACTTGGGAGGCTGAGGCAGGAGAATCACTTGAACCCAGGAAGTGGAGGTTGCAGTGAGCTGAGATTGTGCCACTGCACTCCAGCCTGGGTGACACAGTGAGACTCTGTCTCAAAAAGAAGAAATGAACAGTAATGATAGAAATAGCCACCATTCACTGAGTATTTACTACGTAGTGGGGTCTATGCTAAGATGCTCTTGACATGGGTTTTCTCATTTTAGGAAGGACAGTCCTGTAGCAATGCAAAAGCCCTCTCTGTCAAGGTCACAAGCCCTTCTGGGGCAGCTGACATCCAATGATGCAGTGCTTACAGTGATCAAGACCTGGGTATCTCAACCCATCTTGGGACAGCTCCAGAGCTCCCCAGCGGCGGGCCACGCTGTTGCCGGGCTGCGTCACAGCTCGACTTTTCTGCCACTTTGCCTCCTACCCTCCCTTCTCAGGTGCTGGTCCCAGGGCCCTGTAATAAATACCCTCCATGCTCAACTCCATCTCAGAACCTGCTTCTCGGGAGCAACTTACAGCAGATGCACTGAAAATATTAATGCTTAATCCCATGGGTGAATTCAAGGCAACAGCATAAGTGTTATGTTTTTGTAAAGCTGCTAGGTACTGATGGGTGGTCAGATTGGACACCACTCAGAATGGGGAGAAACTTGCTCCTAACTTGCCAGCTGTATGACTTTGGGCAAGTCTCAGGTTGATGATGCAAAAGAGCCAAGGGTGGGCCTAGCACTGAACCTAAGAGCTGCAGCTTCCAGCCCTTCTCTTAGTTACTGATACAGTTTGTGTGGACCATGAACCAGTGGGCTTCTCTGACCCTTGGTTTCCTCATCTGTGAAACGGAGATCATTCTATGTGTCTTGCAGAGGCTTGTGAAGATCAGGAAGGAGGCAAATGTACAGTGCCCAGACCTGGGCACGGCACTTTGTAGGTTCTCATGGTTTGTCTGCCCCCAACTCACCAGGATGGCCGGTCCCCTGAGTTGTCATGCCATAGCCTGAGGCTCTGCAGTTCCCCCAAGGGGAACAGGGTGGAGAGGAGGAAGGCATCCACTGCCCCTCGCTCAAAAACCGGAGTGTTGGGGTCAGACAGGTGGTGGGGCTCACTCTCTCCATCCAGGCCGTACAGGGTGACAGTCACCTGAAATCCAGAGACCAGGAGTGGTCAACTCCACAATGGCATAGCAGGGCTGGGTGGGACACACTCATCAATCAGTGGATCTTGTACAGGCAGGTACCTTTGAGGACGTGGCTGCCCCTCGCCGGTGTCCTGTGTAGACTGTCACCAGGTAGTGGTACTGGGCAAGGGGATCATTGTCTTCCAGCACTGTGACCTTCACCTGGAGAGAAGGATGGCATCAGGAAGGCCTTGCTCAGTGGGTTCCTGCACCACCCACCAGCCAAGAAGGAATTGACAATTCATATCATGAATTGGGCAAAGCAAAAATTACATATGCTATTGATTCATCCCTTTGGGTGAGAACTGTTTTTTTATAAAAGCAGGGTTTCAAGTGCAAAACACTGGGAAAATTAAAAAGCACAAAGTATATTCTTTTTTTTGTTTTGTTTTGAGACAGGGTCTCACTCTGTTGCCCAGGCTGGAGTACAGTGGTATGATCTTAGCTCGCTGCAACCTCCGCCTCCTGGGTTCAAGTGATTCTCCTGCCTCAGCCTCCAGAGTAGCTGGGACTACAGGCATGCACCACCATGCCTGGCTAATTTTTGTATTTTTAGTAGAGACAGTGTTGCACCATGTTGGCCAGGCTGGTCTCAAACTTCCAACCTCAAGTGATCTGCCCACTTCAGTCTCCCAAAATGCTGGGATTACCGGCATGAGCCACCATGCCTGGCCCTAAAATACATTCTGTATGAGATATGACCCCCAGGTAGTTAAATTGGAAATTAACTTGATAAGCTGAGAACATTGAGTTTTTGACCAGGTGAATGATACGAACTCTGTACATATATAATTTCTCATAACATTGGTAACAAGGTGGTGTTTCTGAAGGAATTTAAAAGAAATGAAACGTTAAGATAGTTTAGCAACAAATGAACTCATGAAGATAGAGAGTAGAATGATGGTCACCAGAGGCTGGGAAAAGTAGTGGGGCTGAAATGCGGGGGAGAAGATGAGATAGTTAATATGTACAAAAATTAGAAAGAATGAATAAGATGTAGGCCAGGCATGGTGGCTCATGGCTGTAATCCCAGCACTTTGGGAGGCCAAGGTGGGTGGATCACTTGAGGTTAGGAGTTAGAGACCAGCCTGACCAACATCGTGAAAACTTGTCTCTACTAAAAACACAAGAATTAGCTGGGCGTGGTGGCTGGCACCTGTAATCCCAGCTACTCAAGAGGCTGAAGCAGGAGAATTGCTTGAACCCAGGAGGTGCAGGTTGCAGTGAGCCGAGATCAATCACTGTATTCCAGCCTGAAAGACACAGCAAGACTCCCTCTCAAAAAAAAAAAAAAAAAAGAAGATCTAGTAGCTGAAGCACAACAGGGTGACTACACCAATGAGAATCATACATTTAAAAATAACTAAAAGAGTATATTTGGATTGTTTGTAACACAAAGGATCAATGTGTGAGGAGGTGGATACCCCATTTACCATGGTGTGATTATTACATACAGCATGCCTTTATCAAAATATCCCATATACTCATACATATATATGCCTACTATGTACCCGTAAGAACTAAAAAATAAATGTTCTTAAAAACAGTTTGGCAAAAAGAAAATAAAAAGACATTAGCTAGAGCTGGCCAGAGGCTACAGTCGACTCCAAGATGTGCTGCCCACATCTCCCTCCCACTGGGGGCTCCTTGCCTCAGTTGCTGGGGTCAGAAATGCAACAGCCAACTCTGTTGAGGTTGTGCCTCCTTGGGGCAGCCAGCATTCAATGACCAACTGGGCATCTCAACCTGACTCGAGACAGCTCTGGACCTCTCCAGGGGCCGGGCCGGGCTGTCACTGTGCTGCATCACAGCTCAGCTTCTCTCTCTGCCCATGCTGCCTCCTTCCCTCCCTTCCCAGGTGCAGGTCCCAGGCTCCCTTGATAAAACCCCTGCACACCCTGCATGCTCAACTTGGCCTCAGAGTCTGCTTCCCGGGAACCAACCTACAGCAGAGGCATTTCAAGTATTACTGCTTCATCCTTTGGGTGAATCAAATGCAGAGTATCAATGCTGAAACTATTATCTTATTAAATTTATCCCAGATGAAATCGTGAGTGATGTTGCTTCGGAGGGAGGAGTAGGAATGGAGAGAATTTCAGAGTTCTGTGACAACGCAACCTTGCATTCATTCATTACCTCTTCTTGAGATAGCCGTAAATATTGACTGAAGGCCTACTATGTGTCAGGCATACTGCATATACTGGAATTTTTTTTTTTTTTGAGACAGAGAGTCTCATTCTGCCACCCAGGCTGGAGTGCAGTGGCACGATCTCGGCTCACTGCAACCTTCGCCTCTTGGGTTCAAGCAATTCTCCCCCTCAGCATCCTGAGCAGCTGGGATTACAGGTGCCGCCACCACGCCCAACTAATTTTTGTATTTTTAGTAGTGATGGGGTTTCACCATGTTGGCCAAGCTGGTCTCAAACTCCTGACCTCAGGTGATCTGCCTGCCTTGGCCTCCCAAAGTGCTAGGATTACAACTGCGAGCCACCGCACTCGGCTGGAAAAAACTTTAAGTAGACAAATACTCTCTTCCCATGAAGCCCCAGGACGATGTACACAGCGCAGTGGTTCTCAGCCTCACCTTGGCCTGATCCTGAGCGTCCTTCCTCCTTGCCCACATTACCACCAGCACGTAGACCACGCACAGGCAGCCCACGGTGGTCACGACCACAGGGTTGTTCTCAAAGGTGGCAAAGAGCTCAGCAGTCTGGTGGATGTCGATGGCATTGGGCATCACGAGGAATGTGCTTCCGAAGAAGGTGAGGTGGTTGCAGAGGCAGTGAGTCTGGTAAGGGCTGGTCCGAGGCCCCACCTGCAACCCACAGAGGGCCATCAGTGGAGAGGCTTGGGAAGTTCAACCCCGGCTTGCTCGAGCCCATGGGAGAGGAACAGTGTTTGCTTTGAAGGGTGTACACTATACTGGGGTGTGGGGCTGGGAAGACTGCTGGGAGACCAGCTTCAGAAGCCCCCTTTGAACTTTTTTATTTAATTAACATATGCAGAGAATAGTATTTTATTTATTTATTTTTTGAGATGGAGTTTCACTCTTGTTACCCAGGCTGGAGTGCAATGGCGCGATCTCGGCTCACCGCAACCTCTGCCTCCTGGGTTCAGGCAATTCTCCTGCCTCAGCCTCCTGAGTAGCTGGGATTACAGGCACGAGCCACCATGCCCAGCTAATTTTTTGTATCTTTAGTAGAGACGGGGTTTCACCATGTTGACCAGGATGGTCTCAGTCTCTTGACCTCGTGATCCACCCGCCTCGGCCTCCCAAAGTGCTGGGATTACAGGCTTGAGCCACCGCGCCCAGCCATTATTATTATTTTGAGACAGAGTCTTGCTCTGTTGCCCAGGCTGGAGTGCAGTGGTGAGATGCTGGCTCACTGCAACCTCCACCTCCAGGGTTCAAGCAATTCTCCTGCCTCAGCCTCCTGAGTAGCTGGAACTACAGGCGCACACCACCACATCCAACTAATTTTTTGTATTTTAGTAGAGACGGGGTTTCACCATGTTGCCCAGGCTGGTCTTGAACCCCTGAGCTCAGGCAATCCACCTGCCTTGGCCTCCCAAAGTGCTAGGATTCCAGACATGAGCAACCACTTCCAGCAAGAGTATTTGTAACAAACATCTTTGTATCCATCATTCTCAGAAGACAACTGTATATATGTTGCCAGGTTGCTTTGCCGTTTTTTTTTTTTTTTTTTTCTGAGACAGGATCTTGCTCTGTCACCCAAGCTGGAGCGCAGTGACACAATCTCAACTCACTGCAACCTCCACCTCCTGGGTTCAAGCAATTCTCATGCCTCAGCTTCCCAAGAAGCCAGCATTGCAGGCTTGCCCCACCACACCCGGTTAATTTTGGTATTTTTAATAGAGATGGGGTTTCACCACATTGGCCAGGCTGGTCTTGAACTCCCGACCTCAAGTGATCCAATTGCCTTGGCCTCTCAAAGTGCTGGGATTACAGGCATGAGCCACTGTGCCTGGCCTTAGATGAAAGATTTGGGGCAAGTCAGTTGAGTTTCCTGAGCCTTTGTTTTGTCTCCTGTAAAACGCGAGTCACAGTAATCTTGGAGAAGATTGTGCAGATTTGATGAGCTGACGTGAGCAAAGCCTGGAGCCCTTCAGCTGGCACAGAACTAAGGGCTAAGCAATGACTTCATTCCCTCGGAAATAACACCCTGGCCTTTCTTCACAACCCAGACGCAGCAGG